CGTGGCATCTTTGGAATTCTTCACAGACAGATTACTTCAAACCGGGCATTCCGACCTCTACATGGGCGGTGTCTGGGTTTACTGTGGCTTACAATTATTGGAAAAATATAATTCTTTAAGCTTTTAGCATATGCGTATCCCTCGAAACAAATTGAATAAGTCTTCAGATGGTGTGGAATTCATAAGAGATCCCAAGGATTCTACGTGTATTCTACGATTAAATTTATTATTTGTAGTAGTATGTTTTCTGTGATTCTACTCATAAAATTCGTTCTGAAATTTGAATAGTGGGGTGGTTATTTTTCATTCCGGGTTTTCGGGTCCACAATAATGTTGATATTTAATAATGTCTCAGACGGAAATAACTTAAATATTTTCACAAAGTTCCTTTGACATAGAAACATTAAGAAAATATAAATGGATATAAATGTTGTTCAATTTACGATATTTCAACGAGATGTTATTAGATGAGGAGTATTTATAAAGTTCATAATCGTTTATAAATATTCCCCAAACCTAGCCCTTCGTATGTGTAAATGATAAATTTTCGCGCATACATTTTAAAAATTAAGGCATTGTGTCGTACATGTACACAAAATTACCCCAATGCTTTAGGACAGTATAACGTTCTTTTATAAAAAGTTTACAGACAAAAAACTTAAGCGGTAAAGTATAATAGCGTTTGTATGAGTATTGACTATTATGTTTGAACCTAATCTTATGTCCACCATCACCCGAGTTTATCAACAATTGTCCCAGTCAATCATATCAGACTTATCTTCTGTGATAATTTAGGCTTAATATAGGTTACTAAATCATTCAATCTAAACATCCTTAACTTTAAAATTTGTCAACGGTTACGAGAAATAGCGTAATCTTATTGATGCGAATTACAACATGCCTACACTTACAGTAAGTTAATTACAATGGGAATTAGGTAACAAAAAACATTTCACTAGATTTGATGATTTCAATATGTAATTTCTCTGCATTGGCTTAGAATAAATGGGTGAAAAATAAGATAGAATTTAAAATGTTTTAAAACAATCAAATATATTTCTACAAATACTACACAATTCGGACAAACCATCATCTCTCTGAATGAAACAGAAGTGTCAAAGAAATTATGGGAACAAAAAAGGGCCGCCGGCATTCTAAATTAATCCGGCAGTAAAAACAGCTGAAACCAGTTTTAAAAGGATGCAGCGCGGAGGCATTTAAACCGGGGGGAAATATCGCGTTGTCCCGCGCCGCCGGCTGTTGGCAACACTGTGCGATACAGCTGTTTCAAGGACGGCTGCGTCTGCATTGATATCGCGGGCCTCATAAGGTTGGCGATAGTGTATCATTAATCGACGATCATTAAACATTACAACATGTTTACTGTTGATGACTGAGCGATCGACGGCTGTTTGCGAATTGCAGCGGCAGCGAAGAAGAAGAAGGCCATTGACACAAATCGATTGCTGACAGCCGATATTTAGATACGCTTGCAATCATTTTTGTTTCAGAGAATACTTACATATCTTACAAAATTACTTTTTAGCGTTTTAAATGTTAAATACAATTTACTTCGAATGCACAATAATACTGATCAGAGCACAATTTTTTTAACTGGTTTGATAATATTCAAATACGTTTTCCGATACAAAAACTTAATAAAATATCAACATTATTTTAAAATTTGGAATTTTCCTTTATTATTTTGCAATGCAATCGTTTAATAAATAGGCCACACGTCGAATACATTAGAATTTGTACACAATTCCAAAATAGGCTACTTTTAATTCAACTCATATTTGCTGTTGCAGTGGAACCTCGATAACAAAACCCCTCGATTACGAGTGTCATTTTCAAATCTCCTTGAATTTTTACCACCCATAAAATCACATGTTATTGCAAACCTCGATAAGAAGTCAACTATGATAACAAGTCTTATTTAATAATCCCCATAAAAACATAAAAAGACTTATCGAGATCCTAATTATTATATTTTATATACAGTTATTTTATTTTTATTTTAAGTTTGGTTTGAGGATATAAACTAACGTGATTAAGACATATTAATTGTATCCAACTTTCAAGATTTTATGAAGGGTGCATAAATAAATAACTATTTCACATTCCAACACCAACATAATAAGACTTGCGAATTTAACAGTTGGCCTTACTTCTCTTTAGTTTGTATTTAAAAACCAATGCCAGAATCAGTATGAATTACATCTAGTATCGAATTACAGTAATTTGTAAACTACATCAAAATAATTTTTTTCCAATATTCTAATACGAAATCGTTTTGGACAGGTCCAAAACAGGTACATCGAAATGGACAACAAGTATTGAAGATACAGTAAACAACCTGAACAAACACCAAGAAAAATAAAGCAAAAACACAGACATCCGTCCCAACAACTTTAACCGTAAACAGTTTTGAAAGTGGAGAAACTACCGAGTCATCGTGGGGAATACAAACACCAGATAAAGTCAAATCAAACAAAAGAAATTGCGATAAGAGTGGAGAAACTTGTGATAAACAATATGTGACTCAAGGGGCAAGGATCATAGAGGGAACAACGAACGACGACGTGATACAGAGCACGGTGGAAGGGTTAACGCCCTACAACACTGCTTACTAGATATCATCGACAAACGTGTACAACACTTATACTTTTATAGTGTGTATACTCGTATATGGGAGGAATGAACGAATATAAAGCTAATGGTGGTTTTACTGCCGTCTATGATCGGCAATGAGTCAAATTTCAGACCCACTGCAACAGTACTGAAAAGCGCTAAGAATATATAAACATTTTTGTTATTTTTTAATTTTATTTTTTAAAGGACACTTATTGAATGAAGGACGTTGCAAAACTGAAATGGACAGTGGCACCTCGATAACAAAACACCCTTGTCCCTTGAGTGTCATTTTAAAATTGACTACTCTTTATTTTATACTAGCCCTAATCACTTGTTAGGTTGCAAACCTCGGAGTGTAGGAGTTTTGCCAACGGGTATCAGGTAGAAAGGGTCACCATCCATGAATTCCACATACTGCGGAGTTTTGCCAACGGTTGTGGGTTGAGCGAGAGCGATTACACGTGACCGTGAGAGTGGCTTCCGCTAGGGGTGGACAAACCAGGCAGGATGCTGACTGTATTCAAAGTAATGGAGTTATGCACCTCTGACTGTGAAAGGAAATGTATTGAATTTTTAACCTAACCTAACCTAACCTAACCTAACCTAACCTAACCTAACCTAACCTAACCTAACCTAACCTAACCTAACCTAACCTAACCCACTGCGACAAGCGCATAACTGCCAAGCGTAGCGTAGACAACCCTGACAATCGCTCTCCCTCCCTCCGTCACACTCTTTCTCCCACCACCACCGTTGGCAAATCTCCGCACCAAGAGGTGGCCGAAGACATCCCCCCCATCTACCTGACACCCGTTGGCAAAACTCCGGTTCCCCAAACCTCGATAAGAAGTCAACCTTCATTATAAGTCTTTTAATAATGCCCATGAGAGTCTTGTTATTGAAGTATTTCTGTAGGCCTACATGTCTTGTAAACATGTCTGTGAAGAGAATGTGATTGAAGATATTATAACTACAGACATGTTATATTATATTATAACTACATATTGGTTTTTGGATACTCAAAGATCAACACATTGTGAATTTTGGGATCAAGAGTCGTAAAATATTATTCACTATAAACAAACAACTCAGGAAAGGCATATTTATCAGTTGCGTACTGTAAGTTAAAAATTTATAACCGATTCATAAATTTTCACTTATAAAATCAACATTGTTACTCTACAGAATTCACGTTGATAACAAGATACTCATTTCAAGTTGAAATAAAATTGTCATAACAAAGAACTTTAAAATTTCCTCGAGGCAAGTTGTTACCGTATGTTGTGATATCACTAACTTTCCTATAGTGATATTCAGTACGGTACAGTACAACTATTTTATCTAGTGTATTATCGTGTTACCAAGTTCTTAAATTTAGAACATTTTAATAGGAAAATACATACAGTATTATGAGTATCTAAACAAATTTATCAGCCAATTGTTTGACTATTATTATCGAGACTCACTTGCAAAACAATACAATAAAGCATAAATGTGTCACAGGTTTTATCACTCGTGCAATATTAATTACTCGCAACAGAATGGGGTTTAAATGCATTACAACTTACAACGACGTATCAATCCAATATATGTTTATCTAAATTTAAGACGGAGATATAAAGTACCAAGTTATTGTTAAATTGTAAATACTTCATCACACTCAACATTTTCGTGAACGAGGAAATTACAATTAATTAGATCCCAAAATCAAAACACACCATATGTGCATAAAAGATTGAGTTTACCAACAATGATAATAATTAATTACAAAAAGATCTAGGCCTGTAGGGGTAGATTTTGTTTGATCCATAAGAACTCCATAAGATCAGTAGTTAGTAGGCTACTTTCACTAAACATTTCCCCAAAAAACGTTCCATCAAGCCGCAATATGGTCGGCAAAAAGGCCAAGCCAAAAAGCAATAAACCCAGCGATATGACCATTGGTAAACTCCGGCAATGCGCAAACCCTTCAAAACGTTTAATGAGGCAAAGTTAAACAGAAAAGGCAATAACAGACCATCTCCGTTGAACAGCGGGGAAAACGAAAACAATATTGAGGGCGTTTCCCCCAAAACAACATCCCTAAGCGCCCCTCGCACGGGCGTGGTCAAAGATCCATATGGGCCGGCACCGGCTACCGTCGTCACGTCAACAAACCGTCAACCGACCAACGTCAAAACGTCAAACGTAGTTGACGTTGACACGTATTGCGACACTTGGAAATACTGGAAGAATCGCAAACACTATTCCACACCCTGAATAACAAACATGCGGAATTTCAGGAACCTTTCGAGACAAACACAAATACTAATTATTGTCACATTCCAAAACACCGACGCAATACTGTAGACTACAAAACTTACCAGCATTTTATAATTCACTTTGGTATGGTTGTTATTTTCCATCCTGACTGCCATTGATGCATCGAATGTCCGCACAAGCACTTAACCAAAAAAACGAACGAAGGTCAAATATATAAATACGTCATCACAGATACTAAAACTAGAGTCGAACCACTTCACTTTCACGGTTGTAAAAAATTGCAAACTACGGAATTACCCTATAGGGGCGTACACTGTACACGTCAAAAATCACCATACGTCAAAATCATATGAGCGTAGTCGTCGTCTGCTTCGCTGTAGCCGTGGTTATGTCACTCGCACCGTACCGTACACCCTGCGCGCCGTGGTAAAAAAATCTAACCTTTAACTACGATGATAGTTACTGTATAAAGGCCTAAACTACTCTAAAGGGCTCGGCGGCCCCTCCCCATGTCAACGCCATTACGGCCCCGAAGTTGGTGTAGTCGCCGGTAGAGAGAAGCGGAGTGCGTGGCGTCTCCGCCGATCGTCGCTAGAATGCGCCACCGTCGTCGGAACCAGCGCTGCCAACGGCGCAGCAACAATGTCCCCGCAGCGATGATAATTTCGCAGGAATTCGCAATACAGTTTGCAGTATTTTTATTTACGACTTCGCAGCTAAGTTTCCACAGTTGGAAATGTTTCTCTGGTTTCCTTTGAGCGGTTCTAAGGATATTTTCGGTTAGAATATAGTTGAAAATTAAAACAAATAATACTGTAAAAGGCTTGACTTTATCAAGCAAAACTACGAAAAAGCAACGATAAAAATTCCAAGCAAATCTTGCTTTTGCTTGGAATTTTTTTATCGAGCTCGGCTATTAACATTTCACTAAACCCGTTATTGCCTTCCCTATAGGAGGCATTATGTACTATAAAACGTTATTGTCGTCCCTGTATCAGCAAACCTCAGTAAAGTGCTCCTTAAACTTCAAGTTTTTAAATATGGAATTAATCAATAAATCAGACATATTTGAGGTAAATTCTAGTTAAAATCCAACCAAGAAATGGGAATTCGCTCACAATAGTCTGCAGGTTTGCTGCGGCGAGTGTATTATTTTTTTACATCTATACATTTTTAGATAACTACCAATCAGGAACTTGACTCTTTGGTTCCACAGCAATAATCAGTACATTATGTTTGTTATTGATTATCTGTGGTATTTCTAACGGTGCCTGAGTGTAAGTGTTGACCAGTATCACATGATATTGATAACACTGTGACTCACCGGACAAAGGTCACATCGTTATTCATGTTTACATTACTTGACACACACACACCGTACAAGGGTTCTGGCGCTAGCTGTATAGATAATGGGTAATGGACAACCGTTTCACATTAGACTACTGGAGCTCTACATTCATCTTGCAAGAGTGAAGTGCTATATGGTACTTGGTGACCGAGGATTACAAATGTGGCATAAGCTAGGGCCACATGTTGAAACACAAGGGAATATTGCTGAAGGAAAGTTTCTGATAGAAGCTGGTATACCAAACAGGGCAAGACACTCACAGAATCTGGCGAATCCACAAATTAATCGACATTTGAAGTGTTTCGTCGCGAGAAGTGTCCATTCCGAATTAGTTTAGCTAGACGTGCCATGGCTATGAACTAGGCAGCAAAGGGGACAATTGTAAATTGTTTACATGTGATAAAATTAGTTTTGCAGCGGCTCCTACTATTAACTTGGAAGATACTTTTACGACGATTTTAAACCGCACAACAAACAAAGTGGTGTATTGTACCATATAGTTACACCACTTAACAACCTTACCAAACAACAACCTTACCGAAAAACTCCTTCAAATGTTGACTTCTCACAATGAAAAAGTAAATGGAGTTTCGAAATGAGGAAATCTAGCATTATCTGTTTGAGACCACACAACGCCGGCCTAAGTGAAACTACTTGTTTATAAAACAAAAGTGAAACCGTCGACAGACATTGCGAGTGAGGGACAAAAACTGGTAGTTTACTGAAGGCAGCTGGCATAACTGTAACCAATACACCGCAGTCAAGGCCGGGCCTCATACGATATACTGAAGGAAATCTGCTGGAAGCGGCAACGTTAAGTAGAGTTACCACAGAACAGGCTATAATAAATATCACTACCTACTAAAGGTTTGAGAAATGTTTCATGCACATCAGGACGATAGTGTCTAGCCCGGAACCGTCTTCCGTCTTCATATTATTTATACTTCAGGGTCAGGCTAGGCGTAGAGGTTGCGGTAGTATCCATTAGGTAAAATGTATTGGTGATTGGTGGGACTTGAACCCGTGACCTCGGGAAAAGGAGTCCTGCGAACTACCTAGACCAGCTCCCTCCCACCTACTGATTCTTATTATAGCTAGCTGAAACAGCACACGAAGAATCAGTAAAAGTTCAGAAAATATACCTTTTCTGAACCTGTTTTTGAAAACAAGGAATTTTAAGCTGTCCGTGAATGGATGTTGGTATAAATACATAGGATATATACAGATTCATCCTGTATTTATGGGTTTTGATGAAACTAATCGTCATTGAAATGAAAATAAAAAAAATGGAAAACCCCTAGAGATATCATAGGATGGTGTCCCACACACCATATGTAGTCTGTAGCTCCACACATCCACACACAAAGACATTACTTCGAAAACCACTTTAGGTTAGGGGACCTAAACGGATAGAATATTTCCACGTGTTCAGTTAGATAATGTTGACGAAAATACTTTCTATATTGGGTCAGGGGGAGAAAGTAAAAGTATCGCCTCCAAATAAATTAACATCAACACTTACAGGGTATTTTCATGTCGCTGCCAAAGTGAAGGCAACACTGTATACAAGTTAATTCGCCGTGACTTCTCGCCTCTACATTGTGAATTGTAATTGTTGGCAATGCTGAATGCCGAAGGGGCAATGGTCGAAACTCAAACCGCGAATTCCTCAAATATGTCTCTTCAGCGACATTAACCCAATACAAAGCGAAAATCGCTAATTAGGTAGGTATATCATGATCGTTCAGACGATTAGTTGGATTTGTGGTCGCAATTGAATAATTAATTTGAGTATTGATAGAAGACATTTCATTCCCATAATGTTAAACCTAGTTTTAGAGGAAAATAGAGGTACGTCAGCCACGGAGCACGGAGTGCTTTTATGAAAGCTACTGTGTCGAATACGAACTCTTTTAACCAATCCATTATTGAAAGGAAATCTCATTGTTAACTGAATAATGTTTTATTCCACAACAAAAATCTGTTAAGAAATGCAAAATTGAATTTTTTATGAAAAATCAAAATTGCTGTTACGGTAACTGTTGAGTTTTGGAAATTTTTAACATGGTATTTCAGTGTTTCATTGGTCCAGGGAGGATACCTTAAAATACAGTAGGACGATAGAGACTTCCTGAGTTCTTTGACACCCTGTATATTGACGAATGCATTTTCGCAGAGGAATATATCGAACGCAAAGAAAACTTTTGTACGAGAAAAACTGTACTTTGTATATACCGTTAGTAAACCTAAAGCAACGAAAAAAAGACGGAGACAGGGTCCTTTATCTTTATTATGTTATACTACTATAATACATAGTGTTATGTATTCAATAAGGTGGTTGGATTTGGGGGGGGGGGCTGGACTAATGGGAGCGCGGGTCTTCGGTCCCCGAGGTTCCGGGTTCAAATCCCGCCAAATCACCAAAGAATTTTATCCAAGTGAAAATGCCGCAACCCCTAGGTCTAACCTGAAGTGATGTGAAAAACAATTTTAGGCTCGTGCCTAGCATCCTAGGAAAAAAAGAAAGAAAATGGGTGGATTCCGAACCATCGGACAAGTACACTGTAGCCCTCAGATTTCACACAGAAACGTCACATAAGTCACTCGTCGCGCCACCATACCCCGAGTTGAGCTGTTGAATGGCGGAATCAAATTGGAGTAATTTAAGTTTTTGAAAGCATGTGTGGGCGCCCGCATACTAAACTCACTCTACGATAGTAAATTGTAATTGGGAATTACGCGGGGCAAATAATAATGTGGAGTTTTCTTTACGTGTTTTTAATGTACCTCGATTCTTAAAGTTTCCCATGAACAAATCTAGAGGTTCCATACGTCCCGATTTTACGAGAGGTCACCGGTTTTGCTAAAAATGTTCCGTCAAAAAAGGTTCTCGAAAACTAGACCACTTTTCAATTCCAATAAACATTCAATGTTTTGTTTAAAATATTAAAACAGCCGATTTATAAGTAACCAAAATCAATGTAACTGCGTTTCAAATCAAGAGTAAATGTATGCTTTTGTAATCTCGATTTTAGGAAAATGTATACAAACAAATAATGATAGTACTTCTTGTGCTCGTTTTACAATAGTACTGTATTTCGCAAAAATGCCAATTTGTTTGATCTTCAAAGAAAGTCAGCTTAACCAACTAAACAAATAGCAAAACTTTGAAACCCCTTAAAGAATTTGCATATCCACAATATCAATTTCTACCCACCAATCCAGCCCCACCCATACAGGGGATGGGAAAAGTAGGGAAAGTTTCCGGGACTTTTCCCGCAGACTAGGTTGGCAAGCCTGTAGCGAAGGTCGCACGGCACAACTGATGGCAGATGCCACATCAACATTCCTTGAGTGTTTCCGCATACCCTTCCATTCATCCTTCCAGAGGTCCCATACCCATCCCATCCCATGCCATCCTATACTCGTCTAGAGGAAAAGCGGGTCTACCGACTCCTGGAAGTGGAACTTAACAGTTACATGGAGACTGCGGCTGCGGTATGAAACGGGCTGTTTTGAGCCGCACAGCTGACTATAATTAATCCGTCGTCAGTTCCAAAGTTAGAAAAAAATACAACTTAATATTTTATTAATTGAAACATGTTAACCGCTAATTGGTTACAGTTTTTCTTCTTTTTTAGAATATTGATTCTGAAATTTGTTCACAACAACAAAATGCCATAAAATAAAACTATCTAGTCTACTGCTAATACTTGTGATTTGCATACATTAAATTTAACCCCATAATAATATGAAAAAAACCCAAACTTGACACATTTCTATTGGTGAAAACAATAAATTGGGGCGTTTGCATTTTAAACTTTTCAGCTGCAGAGATGCAGATGAAATTTTACGTCGGGAATGTCAAAAAAGTGAAATAATTAACTTACGACAAACATAGGATTAAATAATAAAAAAATGTGTATAAAGTGAAACATAAAAGACAATCATTAATATGCTGTTTAAATTTACGTTCAAACCTTTGAACGAAATGGAAGTCCCCAACTCAATAATTGATCATTGATAATAATGTTTAAGAAAAACATCAAGACAAACTGAAGATTTAAAAGACAAACATCAGTATAAAATGAATATTGTTTAAGAGAAACATTGGGACAAACTGAATAACTGTTACGAGAAACATCGGGATGAACTGAAAGAGAAACGTCGGGATGAATAGAATAGTTGAAAAGAAACGTCGGATCGGGATAATCTTAAAATGTTTAAGAG